AACATATAAAACTACAAAAATAAAAGACTAATCAATGTCTAAAACAACTATTCACTTTCACAGTTCCAGCAAAACGCAACAACACAGACACAATACACGACACTCCTCCCCCTGGATATTTTTTACGTAGCATACTCTTCTAGGTATTTTGGGAGCCACCTGATCCTCATAGACGGTGGCGTATGAACAATTGGCACCATCACATCAGAGATTTCTGGTTCCATCTGTGGTAAAGTCTCTGTAGTCTCCTGAAAACTCGCCATTACTAGGAAAGTCTGATTTCAACCCGTCTTAAACTCGCGGACAGATTTGGTCAGAATGTCTTCGCATGATTTTTCCTTCAGGTGTTTGGACCTTGTAGCTCAGCGGACCTGTAGTTTCGATAATCGTTGATGGCAACCATTTGTCACCTGCTGCAAATGATCTTACATAGACTGGATCATTATCATTGAAAAACCTGGTCTTTTTCCCTTGTTCTGTACGTTGCTTGTCTTCTTGTTTAGTCATAATCTCCCTCCAAAAATCTGGTTGTAATTTATCAAGTAGAGTAGATAATCTACGGCCCATCAGCATTTCTGCTGGAGATCTACCTGTTAAACGATGCGGAGTTATGTGTTGGCTCATTAAATATCGGGATAGGGCCAGTTGTACATTGGTACCAGTCATTTTCTTAATTGCAATTTTAACATTCTGCAACATCTTTTCTGCCTGACCATTACTACTGGGATGGTAAGTTGCTACTAGAGCTTGCCTAATTTGGTTTTTTTAAAGAATTCTTGAAACTCTACAGAAGTAAACGCTGTTCCATTATCCGAAACAACGACATCCGGTATGCCATATGTGGCAAAGCATTCTCGCAGCACTGTAATCGTCGATGCACTGGAGAGTGGAGGTACTAGATACAAACCTTACTTCCAACCATTTTGAGAAGGCATCGATCACAATTAAGAAAATATTTCCATTCATTGGGCCGGCAAAATCAAGATGTATTCGAGTTCACGGGCCCCGTGCCCATTCCCAAGGGTGTACTAGCGATTTTTTAGGCATGTTTCTTGACCCCTGACACTCAGCACGCCTATTCACTAAATCCTCAATTTGCTTGTCCATGCTTGGCCACAAGACGTATGACCGTGCTAGTGCCTTCATTTTTACTATGCCAGGATGAGCAGTGTGAAGTATTTTGAGCACTCTCTCCCTTTCCCCTGGTGGAATTATAACTCTAGTGCCCGACAATAAGCAATCCTGATAGCAGGTTATTTCATTTTTTCGTTACAAAAAAGGTATATACTCTGGTGTAAATCCATTCTGGTTTTCTGGCAAACCTTTCCATGCCCACTGTAAAACCCTTGATAAAACTGGATCTTTCTCAGTTTCAAGACCTCATCTGCCTCTGGGGCGTCTGGAGTTTTAATATTTAAAGGTACTCTGCTCAGAGCATCTGCATTTTGAATCTTGGAACCTGGCACATAAACCAAATCATAGTTATATGCAGCATTCTGGGTCAAAGTATTTCTGGAACACTTTTCTTTGGATTGAAAATACCTAGTAATGGCTTATGATCTGTCCTGATAGTTACTTTGCGGCCCAAAATATATTCATGAAATTTCTTAATTCTTTTAATTATGGACAGAGCTTCCTTATCTATTTGGGCAAAATTCTTCTCGCTGTGCGATAGTGTACGGCTGTGATATGCCATATGGAGCTTCTCTCTCATCATCATTTGGCTGACTCAACACACAGCCCACACCATAAGGACTGGCGTCACATGTTAAAATAAGGTATTTTTTATCTGTACAATGTGCTAAAACTGGCACTTTACTTACTATGTCCTTTAATGCTTCAAACGCCGCGATTCTTTCCTCAGAAGGCAATGCAATGGGTTTTGCTATAGTTGCTTTGACTTTAAGGAAAACATGATAAAAATTCAAAAGTCCAAGGAAAGCCTGTAGCTCAGTCTTATTCTTAGGCGCCGGGACATTAGCTATCTCCTACATTTTCTCTTTAGTGGGCTGAATACCATCTTCACTTATTTGATATCCTAGAAAATCTATTGACTTGTTATTAAACACACATTTTTCTTTGCGTAAATTAAGTCCATCTTCCTTAAAACGTGAAAGCACTGCGCACACTTTACTGTCTAAATCAGCTTCTGATTGTCCGACAACTAGTATATCATCATAATATGGCAGCACACCTGGAATTCTTGCTAGTCGCATGTCTATGGAACGTTGGAAAATTTGTGGGGCTACTGAGATACCAAACTGTAAACGATTACATTCAAATTCACCTTTGTGGGTAATTATCGTCTGTGTTTCGGCAGCTTCACGATCGACGCTTAACTGTAAATAGGCCTGTGCCATGTCCAATTTAGAAAATATTTTACCTACTGCTAGCACTGATAATATACTTTGAACAGAGGACACTGTTCAAGCCTCTGCCTGCAGAGAACGATTCAATGTACTACACAGCCACAAATTCGAACTTTTCCGTTATCTTTGCAAACTACTACTATTGGAGTACACCATCTAGCATGAGTAGTTGGCTCCAGAATACCTTGCCTTATAAGTCTATCGAGTTCCATATCAATTTTTTGCCTTAATGCAAATGGCACTTTTCGAGCTTCTAAAATAATCGGCTTGAAATTTGGATCCAGGAAAAAACTAATTGGAGGTCCCCTGAAGGATCCTAACTTTTCAGCGAATACTTCAGGGTATTCCTGGACATAGTTGGACGAAGAATAAATTTGATTTACCTTTATGATGGATAAACTCAAACCTTCAAAACAATTTCGGCCAAGCATAGTTGCACGGTTTTCCTGGGTAATTATGAGGGGTAGCCTGGCTTCCTCCTCTCCTAGTTCAACAGTTACTAAACACTCACCCCTCGTAGGAATTACTTTACCTTGATAGTCCCGTAGAATAATATTGGTGGATTTTATCAACGGAGGATTGTCGTCCAAAATTCTTCTGGGAGCTTCTAACCCGACCACAGAGTATCCGGCTCTCGAATCTACTCCCATACAAATTTTAGTCCCATTTACCCTTAACTTCGCCTAAGTACTTGCCCGAAAAATTGTCACAACTCACATTATTTGATCTAAGCCCATAGTCCGCACCGTTAGAGTCAATGTTGAACACTTTCCGAATCATTTTCCTGGCCCGAATTATTAAAGTCTTGTTGGTGTACGCTCCGTCTCTGTCTGTTTGTGTCTTTCTTTTTAAGGAAACAAGCTACCTCAATGTGCCCTATTTTCCGACAGTAGTTACACTTCGAATTTTTATGCACACAGGAAACGGCCAAATGGTCTTTTTCACAACGGAAACATTTCCTAGAACGATCCTGATTAACTCGACTGTCACGTTCCTCAGCTAATCTGTTCTGTTTTGGTTGAATTTGCTGTTTGCAACGTGCCTGAACCTCATGTACTTCGATGGTCGGGTTCGTTTCAGTTCCTTTCAATATCGCCAGGCTCTGTGCAGCAACCTCGTAAGCAAGACACATATCTTTAGTTTTCTTGAATGTCAATTTATCTTCTGATAGCAGTTTCCTTTGCAGCATTCCATCGGTAACTCCGCATACGATTCGGTCACGCAACATAGTCTCCGAACTGGTGTCGAACCCACACGATTATGCCAGATGCCGTAATTCTTTCAAATATATTGAAAATGACTTCTCTTAAGTTGATCTCGACGATAAAACTTGAAACGGTTTACAATTTTCAATGTACGTGGCGTAAAATGCTCCCACAATGTCTTGATAATGTCCTTATATGTTTTTCCTGACACCTTATCCGGCGCAAGCAAAGACCTCAGGATTTCGTAAGTGTGAGGTCCACACAAACTAAGGAAAATTGCTAATTTCTTAGTTTCATCTGTAATATCGTTGGCCGAAAAATAGAAAGTCATACGTTCGACGTAGGACTCCCAACCCTTTGGTTCGTTTACGTTGAACTGTTCGATGTTTCGGTACGAAGCCATTGTTCGTTGTCACCGTAGGTCTTACTTTAACTTCTGTCCTATTTTTGATCACTGGATCCCATCCTCGTCGCCAAAATGACAGGTCTGCAGCCTGGGTGGTAAATAATACTCAATGCTCAACTTTAAACTACTTCACTAACACTGAATTAGACTCTCAAATTCCCAATTAAACCCCTTGACCATAGTTATATCAAATTTCCTCTCAACTGTCAATTACGACATTACTTTTCCCACCTAGCCAACAATGGCACCCCAAACATATAAAACTACAAAAATAAAAGTAACTAATCAATGTCTAAAACAACTATTCACTTTCACAGTTCTAGCAAAACGCATCAACACAGACACAATACACCACAATATATATGCTCAATATTCAAACTCAAGCATCTTGCGAATCCAGTCACAGATAAAAGGCTCGATTCCTCTGGAAATAGCCGCTTCATAGAGGAATCTATATTAAGATTGTTGTTGGATGTATTTAGTGAACAATGTAAATCATGAATCATTAGTATTGAGTCTCTTTGACGTTTTTGGTTCATGAACATTCAAAGTTTTTTCTGTTACTAGAAGCTTTTAGCTCAGAAATTCTTAGTATCGAGTATTCAAGGGCTTTAGTTTCGAGTCATGAATCTGCCAAAGAACAAGGCATCAAGTTAACAACACAATTTTCAAATTTTTTTCTGCCTGAAATATATAAAAAATGCTGCTTTACTTTACCCAATAATGAAACTTTTTTTTGCCAGAACAAATATTTTGCAATGGATTTCCAATATAGTCGAACCCCTGCTTTTGGAAAAAAAAAGGGATTACATTTTCACGACATACCAAAAAAAGGGAGGATTTTTCAATAAATCTATTTATAGTACCCTTATTGTGTGATCAATGTAATGCAGTGGTTAAATTTAGGAAGGAACAAGTTTGTTTTTGAACTTTAGGACAATAAAATCATCCATTAAGTGAAAACAAATCGTAAAACACCTGAATTCGTCGAGCGTTTAATATTTATTTGTACTTTTTCAGGTGGAAAGGACAGATTACCCTCCGTACCGGAAAGAAGACTCCGGCGAAGGTTTAGGGACGTTTCCGCCTCCGCCGCCACCGCCAGACGGTAAGATCTGTTTCTGCGGCTCTGATAACGAGAATTGTTGTAATTTTCTTTTTAATGAACCACAAGCTGCGGGAAGATTTAAGGGCGAAAAGGGTGATAGGGGTCAAAGGGTAAGTCAATCCATAAATATGAATATTTTTTTAGTTTATTTCGCAATTTCGTTTTTCATACTCCCTTTTGGATCTTTCGCATCATGCATTTTAAATCCTCGTACTTTGTGTAGGGATTTCTGGCTGCTTACCAAGACAATAAGCTTGGAAAATTTATTCAAATTGGTTGCTGCGTTCGTAAAACTTCACATATTTATAGTGACGTAAACTGGATTATTGATTCTCACCCAATCAAATTCCTTCTAATAAAGTCTAAAGAATAAATTCCGATAACAATAAGCTGCTGACTGAAATTTAATTACTTTCATTACGTGGCCTGGAAAAAAAAAAACTCTGCTGACGTTGAAATTCGTAACGTTATATTAAATTCAAAAGGCCAAAAAAATTATTATTTACAGTCCGAGGATTTTCGTTTATAAATTTCATGACGTTAAATCGTCACGCCGGGATATTTTATGACAAAATAAATTGTGAGAGGATTTGAAATTTCAGCAAGTGTATGACTGTTACGCCGGAAAATATTTCACGGATAAAAATTTCAATCCAGGAATTGATCAATGTAAAAATAATTGAAATTTGAGCCTTATTAAGTACCTAGTTCAACAGAGCATATTATGTTATTGTCAGACGAGTATTATGTAAATTTGTAAAATTATAATTTAATAAATAGCTAATTTGAATATCCATTTATTCCGCAAACAAAACAAATCCTTTTGCGATTATTCCGGTAACACCTTGAACCGAAGACAAAACAGAATTAAGCGCCTGGAATTCCTTTAACTTGGAAAAACTCCAGGCATACGTCTTCTCTCTGGCATTCAAAAGCGCCGAAACAGGGAATATTAATAATTCCAGCCGGGAGAATTTATTATTTACATCATCGGGCGCATTCCGGGCCTATTCCGGAGGCGGCCGTTTTTGTTGTTGAGGACGCACAAAAGGGCCACTTGGCTTTTCATGTCGCGCGAACGGTTTTCGGGAGGACAATAAGGCATTTCTTGAATTGTGTGATTTTCTTATAAGGTATAATTATTTTACAGGGGTCACCGGGAGAAGCTATCAGAGGTCCTCCTGGACCTCCGGGACCACCAGGATTACCAGGAGTACAAGCACCAGAGGTAGGTTATTTTTGATACTTTTTACCTCAGGGTGGTTCTAAATAATATAGCATTTTGCGGAGGGAATTATCGGGGATAATACCACGAGAGCTTCAAAATTACCGATAATTTTTCACGATTGCGTGTTTTCTATAATTACACGAGTCCGTAGGACGAGTGAAATTTGCAGAGAAAACACGCATGAGTGAAAAATTATCTGGTTCATTTTAAAGCTCAAGTGGTATTTACAGGATTATTTCACGTATGAGAATGCAAGAAATATGGAAATAAATATGTATTGAACGATTTGAACATCTTAACAATCAATACAAATAAATGGTTGCTATCAGGAACCGTTTGTTTGTATCAAAAATTAGCATGACAACCATGTATACAATAACATGGGAGAATTATCGCTGTAATTCTCTCTAGTTAAACAAATGGAAAAGAGAATTTTCGCTGTAATTCTTAAAATCGTCACTTGTCTTATGGGATTTCTAACACATGAGTGGAATAATCAACGAAAAATCTCTGAAAATAGAGAGTTTCGATTCAAATTTATACAGATTTTTTGTCAGCGAGGAGTATATTCAACTACAACAAGTGTAATCTTTGAAGATTCTGTTTCACTTTTGAAAACTCTTTAGAACTTTTCCTATTACTTTCATTAAAATCATGATTAGTAGCACCTCGATTTTGGCCCATATGTTGTACCAACTTTTCGCACTGATTAGGAAGACTACAATTTCTCTAGGTTGTGCAAGAATAATAATTGCATCACTTCCACAATACAGATGTTCAATAAATAAATGGATGTCATAGCCTGCTCAGTTGTGAAATGTTACTGGAATGTTAGACGGGTTCCGGAAATTGACGTTGCAGAATCTGTGAGCTGGACCACCAAATCATCAGGGCTTTTGGAATCACTACACTCCGATGTTGTTCTGAGAGTCATCGAACAATGTGAAAATATACTACTTGAGTGGGTCATTAGGCTCATCTTGTACAATACTGATATTACTGTCTTCGAGTTGGACTAAGTCCAGAAACAGGTGTTGGTGGCAGTGGAGGACGAACTAAGTTGGATCATCCTCGTACATTTTCCAATGGAATGTGGTGGTATTGACTTACCCCTGAGTTTGAGGCGGAAGAACTTAATTTTTTTTGCAGAATGATGCATTTCGAGTTATGAAGTAACTGTCTCTCATTGCTTTCATTGTTGTTCCAATGATTTGTACAATTTCCATCGGTCTTGGATCAGAATAAGCAGTAATCATGTTCTTTTTGATTTGTTTGCATAAGACTAAATCACCAATTTTGAACTTATGAAATTTAGTTTACTTCTTGTTGCACTTAGCCCCCCACAGAAAACATAAATTCGATTCTAGTATTTTCAATTCTCAAAGTTTCAAGGCTGCTGTTTAACTGGGATGTTAAAAGTTTTGGATTATCTCACATCTTCAAGAGTGCAGAGAATTTGGCTTCCGGGGTTGATTTTTTTTTCATGCTTCTGGAACGCTGTAGACAAAATTCGTAATGGGCGGAGTAGCTATTGATGAACTTTCCTGTCTTCAGAAGGGCTGAGGCTTGAATTTGGACTCTCCTAGCTTCTGGGGCTGGCGTAGGCGTTTCCAATAAATTTTCCTGTCGTGAGAAGCTCTGAGAGATAAATTTGGCCTCTGAGGCGGAGTGGATTTGCACTCTTCTGACTTGTTGGGAGCTATGAAGTTACTCTATTGGCTTTTTGCAGAGCTGTGGATTGAGTTTAAACTTTCTTGGCTTCTTGAGCTCTGTGCAGTATTTTTGGATCAATTTTCTTGAAAAACTATGAATTGGATTTGAATTCTCCTAGCCCGATGGCTTCAGGAACAAGGTGGATTGAATTTATGGGGCGCTTTAGAGTCGCTTCTTATTTGATTTTTAGGATTTCCTGTCATAGAATTGTTCTTGAGTTAGTTAAGGTTATCGTCGAAGTTTCCTCTCTGTAACTTTCCCACATATCGTGGGAGAGACGAAGTAATAACATCCCAAAATTCTTTGCACAAAAACATGTGATCTCCAGATCAATTTCAAAGTCGCAAAATTGATTCCTGGAAACCGTACCTGTCCTTGAGGGCTACAGGGAATCCAAATTTCTAATACATTTTCTCCAAATTATTGCTCAAAGAAGCCCAATATAATTAAATTGAAAACATGTACATTGTACCATAAACACAAACAAAATTAATAATATATATAGCATCTCCGAGAGTAATTAAAACGGAGCAAAACTCCAGATTTCCGAGAAATTATTTCAAGAACCTTTTCGCTGAACTTTCATTTCAACAAACTCCATTAATATTGTCTCTCTAGAGATCTCTATCTTTAATTGCATTTTCCAGAAAGAACCTACCTACATACGTATTTTGTATTTTGTATTCAGGCCATTTTATATGATATAAATCTAGCAGGATGTTTATTGAGCGGACCAGAACTTGCCAGTTGCCTACATTCTATAGAATTTAAAATATTTTAATAAATTCAAATTTAAATTTCAATTGTATGTTGTGCAGTTCTTTTCCACGTTTTTAAGTTTATTTGTAAAATACGTCCCGTTGAATCTGTTTTGAATTTAATTTGTCTGCAAAGCTTCAATTAATCGCGTTCCGTTGCATTGTTACATTAATTTCAATATTGTTTTATAAGACCTGACGATGGCAAATGGGGAAATGAAATAATAACGATTAGTATTCAGCCTTGGGGTTTATTTTTATAAGACATTTACAATTATTGGAGCTGAAGGGAATTTTTTTCTTGAGTAATTATTGTATTTAATTTAAGAATTTTGTTCTAGACCATTTGCACATGTAACATCACTTCAATCCTCAGCACAATGGGGATTAATTTGCCATATTCACCAGCCATACCATCAATATCAGGAAAAGAAGGATTGCCTGGTTTGCGAGGAGAACCAGGAAGACCTGGAGAGAAGGGACCTATGGGACCTAGGGGAGAAAAAGGAGAAAGAGGTATGAAGCATAAAAGTCAGATGTAAATTGTCTTCTGATTTACTATTATTGTTTCAGGTGAACGAGGACCTCCTGGCCCACCAGGACCACCTGGAAGCAGAGGTGAGCAAGGAAAAGATGGTGCGCCAGGTTTACCAGGTCCGCCTGGACCTACAGGACCTCCGGGGCCTACAGAAATTGATGGTGTAAATGTAAGTTAACAACAAAATTAGTAATAGAGAGTGTAGATAATTATTACTTTCCACATATTTGCACATTATCAAAGCTGAGACTCAATTAATATACGGATCAAATATAAACAAAGTTATATACTTGGTATGAAATCAAAATGCATTTATTTCCCAACATTATCTCCAGTTTTCGGAACATTATATTGTTCTAATGTGATTGAATTCCGCTCAAAACCCTGTGGAGATCTGAACATGTAACAGTAACTTTTAATGTCTTCCCGGTGCCCAGTTTAGGGGTTCATCTTCAGGTTCAGGAACTTCGTCAGACTTCCTGGTTATAATTAATCCATTAGGACCGCCTTGCTTGGCAGGGTTCCCGATAACTCAAATTAGTTCGGACTTCTAATTTCTAGCAAAAAAAATTTATCGATTCATATTCCTATTGGTCGGTGCATAACTGGTCGACCAATGGGATCACAGATTGCCTAATTAGAAAGTGAATAGATCGGCCCTAAGTGAAATAGTGTTCTTCTGAAAGTCACCTCTTTCTCTTCTACGCTCCAAAGCGAGATTCTTGTTTATATTTGATTCGCCCTAACACGTCTATATGGTAATTTTATTACTGTTATAAACAAACTTGTGAAAAGCTTATATTTTCTGCATTGGTAAATAAAATTGTATGCTAGCGCTTTAATAAACCTATTGTTATTTTTATTTTCAGGTAGGCGATTTGAAAAAGGTAAGTCTAGTAGATTCAAGCTCACGGAATTAATTAGGTAATTCATGCACAATAGAAATCTGGACTCCATGCATATCCATTTTGGCAGAAACTCAAAATTTCAAAGCGAAATAAACCTATCCAGATAGGAGTGACTGTTTGAGTTGGTCTTATGCCTTTAGATGTGGTGAAATGTCATTGTGTCCTTTGTGTGCCGGCTGTGGTATTCGGAATATGAAGGCAAATTTTGGGGCACGCTCTGACATGTCTGTATGCGTATTATATTGCATCAATCCATATTGGCATATGTGCATCGGTAATTGGCCCAATATTGACTTGCGGTTTTAAAATAAAAAATGTTCACATAGCGAGCATTTACATATCTGTCTATTGAATTACGGGCCGAGACATTTTTATTTCCATATCGATTCACCAATTTAGGTTTAAAAGCTCTTACGATAATAGAGGGCTCGATAAAGGCAGGCAAAGCACTGCATTTCGAATAATTACTTTAAAAGGTGCACTAGCTCTAGTCGGAATTCGAAAATATTTTGGAAAAATAGGGTAGTGACAGTTTGATGTATGAAAGCTTTTAGGAAGATTTGAATAATTAAATAGGCAAATAAATGGGAACAAGTTCAGTCATAGATTTTTTTTTTTTTTTTCATCGATTTGCTCGGAGACGATTTTTACTCAGTAAATAATTTAATGGAAGAGTACTAAGCAATTTTGGTTTTTTGTGTGAAAAGTTCCACATTCTAGATATTTCTCATCCAGTCTAAATACTATGGCTTGATGTTTAAGCGGATGCTAGAGGAATTAAACCACTTAGTTGTTTTAAATATCCTTTATTTTGAAGAAACTTTTCTTTCTTGAACGATTTTTAGCGTACAGGGGTATTCATCATATCTTGACTCCCCACCTGCAGCCTTTACCTTTACAGAAAGATGATAGGTGTAAATGCAAAAGTTGTGCAGCAATCCGCCGACCGATAGAATTAGAAAACGGTACTTACCAGCAAGTTTATCTAAATCTGAAGATGACGGTCATAATAGTTATTTATGTATCAAGGGTACTAAGTAGATGATTATGCCCTGAGGGCGACAGTCTTACAAAGCCGAGGGCCTCTGACCCGAGGGTTCGTAAGTCGCCCGAGGGTATATATCTATTAGTACCCGTGGTGCATACAAACTTTTATATCATACCAGTTGGTTGTGAATGATAAATACCTGGGAAAAAAGTGTCACTTCGCAAATTGTCATCAGTGTGCAAACATCATAATTTTTTGACAAAAACAATATGTTTATCAGCGTAAATTTATATTTTGTTAATAAAGAATAAGTTAATTGAAAACTGTTTTTTGCGTCTTTATGCCCGCGCGGGCCATAATGTGTACTTTATGCCCGCACGGGCTGTCCGGACATTGCTTTCAAAAAACTGAAGATTTCAAGACTAAAAAAGATCATTGGCAACGCTGTGAACTTGTTGTAAAACAAGTAGAATACGCGCTGCAATCGATTGGCATATGAATTTGAAGGCAGATAGATTGATAAACAAATTGCACCTGTGCGCATTTTTTCATTATTTTATAGTCAACTTAATGACAGGTTCAGACAGGAAGGTGGTTCTTGTTTAAACCTCAGATGCATCCCCACCATGACCCCCTCGAGCAGCTCACCACCCTTGGCTTATGCATGGGAGCTCTTGTCATCACAAGAAACATCAGTTCATAAATGAGTCTATCTGTGTTGAGATGTCATTGGGCCCAAAATATTTTTAGTGCCTAGGGCCCGCGAAACTGTTAATCCGGCACTGAAGAAAACAATTGTTTCTTTCCACGTGATCTGTGTGTGAACCTTGGTATAAGCATTCGTCTTCTGCCAGGTTACTTCTAATATTCTGATATTTTGAAATCCATCTTCTTTCGTCCTGCTGCTGTAACCCACTCTTGAACTGAAACCACTTGCAGAGCCTCTTCTAGTGAAATTTCCTCTTGCATTTAAACCTCCTCTTGCATTGTAACTTCGTCTTGCATTGTAACCTCTATTGGAAGGTTAAGTTTCATTGTTGACACTCTTGTTGTGTTAAATTTTTCAATTCAAAAGTTACTTATTTATTACCAATTTAAAGTTAAATCGTGATATTGGTGAAGTCTCCTGGTGGTTGTCTACGGCTTGTGCTATAAGTATGTATATTTTGCCAGTTATTTTGGAAATAAAATTCCCTAACCCAAAAATCTCGCCATGCACTGCCTCAAGTGCAAAGTCGATGAAGTGAACACTAAGCTGCTCACAAGCTGTAACAGTTGCAAGAGGGCCTTCCACAAGCTGGTTTGTTTGGGTTTAAACTCATCGAAAAACCGGGTCATTAAGCTGAAAGTCCACCGAAGATTGCCAGTCAGGTTTGCTTCAGGTTCCATCGATCTAATCAGCAAGTCTGAGATGCAGTTGCTAAGGGACGAATTAAACCAAAAGTCTATCCCATCCACTAGCAATAACACTGGACCTTTGAATAGTGACCTTCTTGCCGAACTTCCAAGATCGCCAGAGCCGAGTAAACAATATTATGGTCTACGACCTGCCAGACCAAAATCAAGACCACGACGATGTTATCAGCCTTCTTGTGTCACTAGACATACCTGAACCTGGTGTAAAGAATGTAGTAAGAATTAGACTACCTAACAAAAATGGTCGTAAGTGTCTCAAAGTATTCATAAGCAGGAGGTTGCTCAGCTTGCTGTTCGCTCTACATCAAAAACTCAAGGGTAAAAACATCTATGTCAGCCCCGATTTAACCATGTAGTGACGCGGAAATAAACCACCAAGAAAACAATTAAAGGTTCTGATTATTCTACAACTAAAGACCTAGGATCCAACTACCGAAAATTAATCAAGAATAACAAGGACTTACCAAACAACCATCCCAGGAGAGATCATCACTTAGGCAGCACAACCAGAAACTGCAATTGAAAATTATCTGAACATCGATATCCAGAAATTATTGAATATCGGCTAAATTGACTAATACATTGGAGTGTGAATAAAGCAAAAGTTCATGGACCTTTTTTTTAAGTGCTTTCAACAATTAACATTCCAAAGGAGCCGAAAATTTTCTAAAAGGATCAATAAATCATGCACGAGCCTATATGATGATACCCACTTAACAAACCACTTAGCGACGCCCTTGATAATTAATTAAAAGGGGACCAAATACACTAATTGATCGGATGATTCAACCACGAAAAATCGAGGTCAGAAAAAATAAAGAAATTCAAGACAATGGAGGGACCAATGACATAAAAAGGCAACTTTGGCGGGAGAAAATCAGTGTTCGAGAAAGAGCGAGAAATCCGGCAGAACTATGGCGTGAAGGACCAGTGTCGGTTGAGTAATCAAGAAACAAGTAGTAATCGAGAATCGAGAGACCTGTGTCCAGAAAGTCAGAACTACGGCGTGAAAGAGTTGTCGAATTAACCGAGAGAAGAAGCACGTGGGAATTAAAAATGGTTCTTTTTTAATAGCTTGATTCGAAAATTTTGGATCAAGGCATAGCCTTAAATCACCAGTTTTTTTCTCCACTATCACAAGAGGGTTGAGCCAGTCTGTAGACTTTTCGGCCTTCTGAATAACATTCGATGCTTGAAGTTCATCTAGTTTGTTTTTAAGCTTTTAATGAATGGCCTGTGGCACACGCCTTAAGGGCTGTATGTGTGGCACTACATTTTCTTTTAAAATGATCTTATATATTCTCGGAAATTGCCCCAAACCAGAAAAAAACTTCAGGATACTCAGAAACCATATTATTAATGTTATCAAATGACAACTTAACATTATCAACATGCTGCACAAGATTTAGTTTGATGCATGCACTCAAGCCTAAGAGAGCCATCTGATTTTTACCATCAACTACTAAAAAGTCAATTACAGCCACTTGTTTTTGAACTGAACACTCGAGTGATATTTTTCCAATAGGCTCAATCCTGAATTCAGAACTACCATAAGATATTAGTGTGACATTGGTGGCTTTCAATTGCTTTTTTGTTTTAAGAGACTTGAATAAATATACAGGAATAATGCTAACTTCAGCACCTGTATCCAACTTAAACTCTTACACAGTAATTTCCACACATACCTTGGATTTCCATAGTTCTTCTACTGAGCCCATATTCTTTGTTATGGAGCTTACGAAGACCTCACTATTTCCTGAGCTGACACTATCATCATCACTGTCCTCACTGGTTTCACATTCTTCTTTCACCTCATACACTTTTTTCCTTGGCTTTTTTTTTGACTCATCCTTTTTCATACAAACTGCAGCAAAATGGTGCTTGGCTCCACACCCATCACATGTCTTGCCATAAGCTGGGCAACGTCCTTTTTCATGACTGTAGCCACAGAATTTACATTCTGTACCTTTGCTATGAGTCTTACTTTTAGGTTTTCCATTTGACAGCATTTACACCTACAGCTTCTTCCTTCAAAACGTTTGCCTGAACTTTGCTAGCTTCAATACTCCTACAAAAAGTTATAGCTTTTTCAATGGTCAAACCGGATTCTCTCAATAGCCGTTCCTGATTTCCTTTGTAACAAATGCCAATCACAATGCGATCCTTCACCATTTCATCTTGATTTGTGTACCGAGTTGTCTTCACGCTTCTTCTTAACTCTGTCAAAAGTTTGACCTTCCTTTTGTATCACAGAGTTAAATTTGAATCTTTCAAAAACTATGTTTTTTCTTGGCGAACAATATTCGTCAAATTTACCTTTAATGGCATCCAGGGACTTCTGTTCTTCAGACGTTAACGTGAAGGAATTATATAGTTTCAGTCCATCCTCACCAATAATAGTGAGAAAAATTGCAATCTGTTGCTCTTTGCTTTTCGATTTTAAATCCATCGCCACTGCATACAGTTCAAACCTTTGTTTAAAACGCTTCCACTGCTCCGCCAAATTTTCGTCATTCACAATAAGCTGTTCCGGTGACTTAAAACTGGCCTCCATTTTCCAATCCTTGAAAACACACATCGCAGCACAATAAAAGTATTTTTTTTCACTCGCTCAGCTTCTTAATCAAATTTCGCCATCAACATGGGCAGTGTTCAGCCAGCAACCTGACACCATGTATTATCCTTGGGATTTTCCAATATAATAATACTAGTATTGCCAGTATTGTATTTAATGACTGAAAATCCAGCCTGTCATGTTTTTCACAATGACGTACCAGGTTCTATCAATTGCGGGTACCCTTCTAGGCATGAATACCTATCAGTGCATTGCTCACCCACCTTTTCTCTATCAGCTTTGTATCTTCTATCATTAAATTCATATGTGGATTATCGTGAGTTTTCTAGATTGAGACAGCTGTGCAAGAGCTTGGCAACAGGAATGCTATCAAAATTATATTCACGGGAACGAAATGGTTATTAACTCCAACATAAAAAAAATTTGGTCTTTTGTAAACAATAAAAGGAAGAGCAATGCTTTTCCTAGACAGAGTCTCCCATACCATGTTATTGCATAAGCTTTGGTTAAATGAAATCGATGAAACCTTGATCTCATGGGCACCTTAGGCATTCTCCTAGCCTTTGCCAGTCAATCAGGCGCAAGCGCGGAAAATGGCTGTCGTAAATAACTTTTACCATTATTTTTTTCTACTAATGATTATAAGTTTTTTGGCGTCCCCAATAGATTTAGATTCTGTCCAGTTAGGATGATATTTGTTGCTGCCTTTTCAAAGTTCTTTATTTTTATAAATGTCCAAAAACTATTTCAATAAATTGTCACTTTACATCTATTTACTCCTCAAACAATATCCAAATCTAAGTCACTTCCTGGCTACTTCACGAGAGAACATCCTCAACTACCTCTTAAATACTATCAAATCTAATTCGAAGTGTACAAATTACACTTGCACTATGATGAGTCTTGGTTACTTTGAAGTGGAAATTGTCCAGCGTCCAGTTTCAATTATCGCGCCACTGACTAGTCATGGACCGGTGTTAATTGCATCCGCCGCCCACTCTTCCCTTGAGTTTTGCATTAGGTAAAATATTGTAATCGATTTTCCATCGACAAATAAAACATTTTTTTTTCCGCTGCAAAATTCAGAACCAGAGACCGTCACGGTCGTTATCCTAAAAATTAATTTATTCGCACGCCCCGTTATCATAATCCTGCAAAACTGTATGGGGGCGCTAAAAATTACAAAAAAAAAAACACACACGCCTTTTTATCGTTGACGGTGTGTACAAATTGGCAAAATTTACGATCCTCATGTCGGAAATTTATTGCAAATTAATTTATTTTCTAGGGTTCAGGCGCACCGATAATCCGGCCGGGTATTCCTGGTAGTAAAGGTGAACCCGGACAACCGGGCGAAACGGGATCGAAGGGTGAAAAAGGACAGAGTGGCACCAAAGGGACTACAGGCTCCAAAGGTGACAGAGGAGATCGGGGGTTGCCTGGCGAAAAAGGGGCACAAGGTGTGAAAGGTATAAAAGTACATCGCAATACAAGAAATTGAATTAAAAATTAAAATGCCTACTTCAGGTGAATCTGGATTGGATGGTTTTCCTGGTACGCCAGGTACTCAGGGTACCAAAGGTGATGTTGGTCCGCCAGGTCCTCCAGGAATTCCAGGTGTTCTGACCAATGGCAGCAATTCTACCGCACTTATCACTTGTCCACCTGGACCGCCTGGTGTTGATGGACGGCCTGGACTTAAAGGTAAAGTTGAATTTTTCTTTTTAGTGAGTCATTTGAATAAATCATATGCATATTTTCTTTTTACTAAACTACCTAATTTAGGCATTACTGTATTCGAATTTTTCCTCGGAAATGGTTTTGACACAACCCCTAAATCAGTCGCGGCCTTATGCAAAATATACATTTCCTATATTTCCTCGAAACTTTTCTTATTTATTCACACCGTTAACTTTTTGAAAAGTTGCCAGATGCAATTCCGTGTTCGGTCCGCATCGAACGTAAGTTCTAACGTGACTTCATCGATTCATTTCGGGAAAAATTGAATTTGATTTTTGATAAGTACACCTTCATAAGTTTGAGAAATGAGACTTGTTTATTTTCAGGTTGGCAGTTAACTTTCAGTAACTACAAAAAACTTACCAATTTGAAATTATGTATCGCATTTAAGTTTATTAACTAAAATTTGCGCTCCAGTAATTATAGCGTATTTACTAAAACTATAATTAGCTAATCCAACAAACGACATCCCAAACAAAATCCCAATTTTCCTAGTAAATAATTCATTATGTTTATGTATGTTTGATCCTGATTAAACAAATATGATTTGTATAGGCGAAATGGGCGAAAAAGGGCCGCGAGGACAGCCAGGACCTCAAGGACTTCCTGGCGAAAAAGGAGACGCTGGTACTGACGGTGCCATAGGGCCTGTAGGGCCTCCCGGGTCCAAGGGGGAGAGAGGAGAACGAGGCCCTCCGGGAGAGTTGTTTTTGAAAAAGGGAGAGGGCGGTGAAGAGCAGATTATCACGTTAAAGGTAAGATTAAAGTTTAGAGTCATTGGAATTTGATTATTAGACAGGAAAATGTTTTTAGATTTACTTGAAATTAAACCAACACACACTTAAATAACAATTTTATTCAACTTACTACTTTTTCTACGTCAATATACAAGTTTTAGATAAATAATTTATAGTACAGTACAAATGCGGTTTCAAATTGAACAAATTAACATCAAGATGAGGCTAGCGGCAATTAGTAGGAGATTGATCTTCAAACAACATCATAAAAATCCCCAGCCGTTCGATTCTTCTTCCAGCATTTAATAAACAAACAAAAAATTTCTTTTAATAGTAGATTAAATCAAACAGCCAAAATCTCGCTTCCAGTGTATCTGACTTGGAAGAACCTATGACATAGCTTATGTAAAATAGTATTCTCTACAAAATTGTTCATATACATTTTTATCGTACGACCAACCGTTTTCGAGATATAGCGTGATAAAGCAGTAGCGCGCATCCAAAATAGGTAATACTGTATTATACTGCGGAGCTATAACTATAAATGCATTTTTCCTAATCTGTTCCCAGTCTGGGAAATAAAATTTCCAATAATAAAATTGTTAGAAATTTGTTATTTATAATAATAGTTATTTTTTTATCAACGGAATTATTAGGGTGTTAAGTTAGGACACCAATTCCTTGTAGCTATTAACACCTGATAATTTCCGTGGTAGGTACCACGTCCACCTGTACATAGATAATTTTATTTCCTACTGAATTTAATACTGTATTTCATCCATTTTTATAAGGGAATAAACCATAAACCAAAATTTCTGAATATTTTTTCTCAAAGTTGCACCTATCCAAGGTAAAAGTGGGAGTTATGAAATCCGAACTCCCACGCGGGAGTTAAAACCTTGTGTTATGGTAACCAAGATATTATATGGTTATAATGGTTCAGTAGGATGGGAATACATAAAATTAATAATTATTAATATAACATGCATAACCAAAAATACATTTTTTTCCGCACCGCTTTTGAAGTAGAATGCAAGGCGGGTGTGCCAATTTGGACAGGTGAACTATCAAATAACACTAAAGTGTTATAAACCATAACCCCCTACTGGGTTATAGTTTATAACTCACTATCTTATAACGACAACGCACAACTTGTATGCTGCTTGTGTGTTATGATTTCGCAGTTGTTGGATAAAACAATGTATGCCACTCGTGTGTTATGTTTTCTAAGTCACTCGAGAAATTATACCACTCGGCCTAACGGCCTCGTGGTATAATTTTAACATTGGAGATATTTATGTTTCATCTATGGGGATCAAATTCGAAGTTTTCGTTCAAGGTCAAAAAATAGCGGTGTCGCCAGGGGCGTACGGTGAAATAACCCGAAGCGTGTCGCAGTGGGCGCAGTGCGGCAAGGGTTATATCGTATCGTTATCTGGGCGGTTAAAATTTAAAAAATATAGGTATAATATGGGAATATTGGGACAAAAATCATAGCGTTTATCGTTTGTTCTACAGCATACTTAGGATACGCTTGTGAAAATTACATTACAAATGTGTATCTCACTGTCGTAGATAAATATACATATGTGTTAAATATTTTCCATATTATAATGGCGTTATCTCCGATGGTTGCAATAAGGATTGCCAAATCTATGATTTTTTTTTGATGTGTCATTATTATAAATAAACAAATTTCTAACAATTTTATTATTGAAAGTTCTATTTTCCGGACTAACAGATAAGGAAAAATGCATATATAGTTATAGCTCCGCAGTATAATATATTACCTATTTTGAATGCGAGCTCTAGATTTATCACGCTATATCTCGGAAACGGTTATTCATACGAAAAAAATGTATGTAAGTAATTTTGTAGAGAATGCTATTTTACGTAAGTTTTGTTTGAGGTTCTTCGACGTCAGATGCACTGGAAGCGAGATTTTCGCGAATAACCGATTTTCATGACTTTTCACCTAATTTTTTCTGGTGTTGCAACATCCGGACATATGAATTTTGAATATGTTGCTTAGAACCTGAAATACTAACAAATTACGGTGTAAAGATCTTGATGTTAATTTGTTCAATTTCAACATGGCAAAATGATTAAATCCACTGTACTATTATACTAAACATCATCTAAATCATTCTCACTCATTTCATACGCCCTGATAGACTTTTTTAAAATATAGTCACAAGCCATTTTAAAGTTCCGGTCCCACTTAATTAGTAAACGAATAATTACCACTGGAGCAGAAAAGGCAATAAATTCTACTAAATATATGAGAAAAGTTAACAAAACCTCAACAGGAAAAGAATATATCGCACCTGCTGATAAAAGAATTAAATTTGAAAATATTATAACTATAGCGGGAAGCCACATTAAATAATAAACATTAGCGACATTTAAAGCGTACAAAACTTTCTCAGATTCCTCAGGAACATGTTTTCTGTATCTTATAACATTAAAAACAATAATAACTATACCAAAAACTACATAAAATAAGACGCATATTAATCCCAAAAAATATGTAGGAAACATTAAAGTTAGCAGAACATTTACAAAAACAAATAAGTAAACAACCCCAATCATCCATTTATAATAAGTTTGATATTTCTGAGCAATTCTTGTATTGCTTGCTGAAAGCAACCAGTCTTGGGCTAATAGAAAAGCAAAAACGAAAGAAGCCCCCAGAGAAGAAAACTCCGTTGTCAATACAACATCATCAGTAACCCTATGCCATATTGACAACAAACTTAAAAATACAATCAAAGTGAAACTCAAAGTAGCTACAGTGTTGGTAATAAAATAATGTAAAAGTATAACATTGGTTCTGGTTTGAAGACGTTTAAATTTGTAGAATGCATAGTAAAACAGAGAGCTGACTAATAGAATGACAACGCATAGCAGCAAATGGGCAATGGAAACTATGTACTCTACAACGAAATAGTAAATTTTTTCGTTAGTGCTGATGATTTCTTTTTCGTAAGGATTGAGAGGATCGTTTTCTATGTCGTCCAGTAAGCTTGATGGAGTGGTCAAATCCATGTTGTCCATAATTCTGGAACAAAAATTATATTTAAACATTTTGGAACAATCTGCCACGCTTTTTCTATGTTAATCAATTTAAAATAAAATAAGTAAATAGTCAAGATTGCAAGAATGAAGGTCGAAGTATGTGCAAATTAAACAATTCGGGGGAGTAGGAGTGGGTTATGTTTCGGGTGCCACCGACTCAGGACAGATGAGTCTGAATCTCCAGGATTTTATCTAGCTTCAGGTCCTTACAACTTGATCGAATTATAAAAATTAAAAAAAATAAATAAAAATAATAATATTAATATTGGGCTGAGTGCATAAAACCAAATAAAACTCAATTAATTCAAGTGCTATAGAGTTCGTTTAATTAAATAATAAATGGAAAATTTGAGAACAAATATCTGGAAATATGTTCCTAAGACAATTGTGGTCCAAATGAAATTTAAATTTGAAAATCTAAATACAAAATGTTATGGTAACTCAAACGAGTAAACCGAAAGTTGAAGACAGAATATTATAGAAATAAAAGAGTAAAATGATTATTGGAACGGTTGCTAGTCACAAACCTTAATGCAATGATGTCACCAAAGCTAAATGGATAAAATTAATCATCCACATGAATCAGGTTAAGCCTAGCTAAAATAAGATGTACCTAATAGTTGTTTAACTCTGTATTTGTAGCTCAAACTTAGTCATGGCTAGGCACTTTGAAATGAACCACAAGAAAATGAATGTAACTAGGTAAAACTAAAGCTCTTGCCAAATATTTGAATAATTTGTGTATAAAAAGCAGAATTATTTAGATATATTTGAGAGCAAAGAAAATGTGGTTTAAGTTTGCAAAAAAAAATCTGTCGTTATAAGGGTATGTCTCACCTGTTGGAATGCCTCGAAAATACTCTGGATTTGTCTGGATCGAGGTTTGGAATCGAGATCCTTCAGTGAATGAGGTGGTCTTCACTCTACTCCTTAGGGCAGCTTTTCACTAATGATTAAATAGAAAAGGTCAGAATCCACTGTGGGGAACAACGTGCAAAGCAAAACAAAATGGATTGTTGTAAAAATCCGAAATTATCGGCGAAATTATGGTACTTTACGAAAACGTAACGCAACGTAAGGCAACTTGAAAGGTAAATTCAATAGTTGAGAATATAAAGTCGAAATCCCTCAAAGGCGAAGACAAAGTTGAACTTCTCCAGAAAGACCTTATCTCTCGGAAACCTCAAACGTGAAAGAAAGAAGCATCACATAAAATTAATCAGCTATCCTAAAGGTAAGGAGTAGAGATGAGGCAAACTATCGGCAAAGGTCAAAAAGAAATCAATGAGCATTTTATGTACCAAAAATTACACACAATGATATAATCTATGAAAAATTATAACAGCTGACGAATAACAACAAGTAATTAACTACTAGAACAATCATAATTTAAAAAATACGACATTGAATAAGCAATTTACGAAAACATAACGCAACGTAAGGCAACTCAATGTACTATAAATTCAATAATTGAGAATATAAGGTCAAAATCTCTCAAAGGCGAAGACAAAATTAGACTTCTCCAGAAGACGCTCGGAAAGACCTTACCGCTCGGAACCCCCAAACGTGAAAGAAAGAAGCACCACATAAAATTAATCAGCTGTCCTAAAGGTAAGGAGTAGAGATGAGGCAAAGAATCGACAAACGTCAAAAAGAAATCAATGAGGATTTTATGTACCAAAAATTACACACAACAATATAATCTGTGAAAAATGACAACAGCTGATGACTAACAACAAGTAATTTAAACTACTAGAACAATCATAATTTGAAGAATACCTACGACATTGAATAAGCAATTTGTGTTGCAAAACGTAAACGCTTACAAAGGAATCGATGAGCCCAAAAACATTACTAATCGAAATGCTAATTGATGTTAATTGACAAAAATGAACGACATTTCTGCCGTCGGCTGTCACACAAATCATGAGTGACATTACTTTTAAGTGTCACTATAGAAAAGAGAGCAAATAGAGCAATCCAGTGGTTTATGGAACCAATAATGGAACTGGATACAGAACTAAATCTGGCCCTGGGGCGTTATTCTGTAAGAACGAACCGTTCGATTCGGTAGAATTTTTTCGATTGTGACGTCATTTTTGGTTTGGTTTTCGCGCTATCAAACCGAAAATGACGTCACAATCGATGAAATTCTACCGAATCGAACGGTTCGTTCCTTACAGAATAAGGCCCCTGAGTTCAGCAACCGAACAGAGTACGAATAGCATGCGGTACATATTCGTGATCGTACCACAATTTGGAAAACTTAACCCAAGAAATAATTGTTTGTTTACATGAAAAATAGATGGAATTAAAATATTGATTAAAATCGAGGAAAATCATTAGTCATCACAAAAACTAGTCACAAGTGAAAATAGAATTTAAATAATAAAGATTAGAAAATCAGGATCTGCAATTACTGTAGGTAATTATTGTTGAATTTTTATAAAGGAAAAATGTAAACAAAGCCTAATAAAGTAAGGGAAAAATTGAATATCTATGGGAATTTTGAATAGAAAACTGAAAATAAGTTAAAAACAATTAATCAGATTCAGAGATGTAATTTTCGATGAAAAACCCTTTCTGTCCTGGGGTCATATATCTTGAAGAAGAAAGTTGTGAAGTAATCAATAAACAAGTTCCAAGACTAAGATGGAACAGGTAGTTCAAGACGAGAATGTTCAGTCTCAGAAGAGACTAGAATAGAAAATAATGAAGACACTGGAAGTATAACTTTAGAATTTTATGGTTTTGAAAAATGGAATATCTTCTGACGACAGAGCAAGTAGGAAGCGAGCTAAATTTGAAAATAACGCAACGACCATACTAATAACTAAACAGGTAAATAGTTATGAAGAAACTATCTAAAGCGTTGAAAAATGCCAATGAAAAATTGTTAATACTTGGGGTCTCAGATAAGTTACCTGCAGGAAGAATAGACATATGCTCTAAATGGATTTATAAAATAAAAACACACGCAGATGACTTTGTGGAAAGTTTGATGTCATATTTTAAATTTTTTTCTGAAGATGGTATAACTAGAGTAATATACTTACATAGAAACGTTTAGGTTCGAGATATTCTGAAACAAGAAAAATACTTTCATTAATTACAAAGAGTATTGGGTGGAAATGCTTCTCAAATAAAACCAACAACAAAATGTTAATTGAAAATTGTATTTATTTTCTTTTAAAAAAAAAAGGTTAACACATACATATTTATCAAATAAAATCATGCATCTGAAACTTCATCGAAACTATTTTCGCTTAGCTCATATTTCCTAATGGTTCTCTTGAAAACATAATCATAAGCCATTTTAAAATTCCTATCCCACCTAGCTAATAAACAAACAATAAGTACGGGCGCAGAAAACGCAATAATTTCAAGTAAATATGTAAGACAAGCTAACAAAACAGCAATCCGAAAAGATTGTCTTGCCCCAACTAATGCGTGAATGAAATTTAAAAATCCTCCAATTACCGGAGGTAGCCATATTGAATAGTATACACTAGCAACATTTAAAGCGTACAAAGTTTGCTTGGATTCCTCAGAAAGTTGTTTCTTGTATCTTATGACATTAAATACAATAATAGCTATCCCATTAACACCATAAAGTATGATACATAATAGGAGTAAAATTGAAATAATATAACCATAAAATATGAAATAACACAAAACATCTACTACAATAAATAAGTAGACAGCTGCAATCATCCATTTATAATAGGTTTGATATTTTTGAGCACACCTACTAATTTTTGTTGAAAGAATCCAATCTTGAGCTAATAATAAAGCAAAAATAAAAGAGGCACTCAAAAATGATAATCCCAATGTAGTAAAAAAATTATTAACAAAATGATACCATATTGAAATCATATTTAAAAATATTATTAAAGTCAAAAATAAACTACCCAAAGTAATAGAAATAAAAAAGTGCAAAAGTATGTAATTTGTTCTGGTTTGAAGACGTTTGAATTTATAAAACGAATAAAAAAATAGCGAGCTGGCCAACAAAATGGCAACGCATATCAACAAATGGGCAATGGAAACTACGTATTCTATCACGAAATAGTAGATTTTATGGTAAATGCTCAATTCGTATTCGTAAGGATTGATAGGATCGTTTTCTATGTCGTCAAGTAAGCTTGGGGTGGTCGAATCCATGTCGTCCATGATTGAGTGAGTCTATTCTGAAACAAAAAAAAAATAAGTTTGAATATTTTAGGACAAAAGTTATTTGGCAGACAGAAAATTAAATATTTATGCGCGACCGGGAATTATAGATATTTTTTTTATTTTATTTTTATTTTTTTTTCCCTGTAATAAGCGTTAAGTTTGTTGGGAAATAAAAGGAAAGGGAAAAATCCGCCGATTTTCCCACGGTATCGAAGAGGCAGTTTCCCAGGCTCAAGTGACCCTTACGTAGGTACTTATTTTCTCTTTTCACCCGAAAACTTTCAAAAATACCCTCTCGAACTAGTTTTCCAGAAAACTATCAAAATGGGAGGAGGTGGATTTTCCTCCTTTCATAGTTTTTGAAAGTTGATTTCTATGGAATTTTCTTTCTGCTCGTTTCCACTGAAATAAGTTCCAATTTTAGTATTATGGAGCTTCTAACTTTTCTCTTTGCACCACAAGAATTTCAAAAATATCC